AACTCGTGATGATCGATATATCGGACGCTTACATGCACTTGGCGATGGCGGAGGAGGAGAAGGGGCATTGCCTGGCGCCGGCACTGGACAACGAACATTGGCTACTGTTCGTGGCACTGCTCTTCGGCTACAAGACAGCGCCCCTGACGTGGTCGAGGGTGGCGGCGATGGTGGCCAGGTTTGTGCAGGCGATCATCCCGGCGGATCAAGGCATGCACCAGGTATACCTGGACGATTCCTTCTGGGTGCTATGCGGGAAGCTGGCAACCCGGAACCAAACCCTTGCCCTGATCCTCACGACGATGGCAGCACTGGGCCTGAAAGTGTCGCTCTCGAAGGGCGAACGGGCGGCAGCGGTGACTTGGATCGGGGTGAAGTTCAAGCTGGTGACCCCGGACTACGATCACTTGCTGGTGACGCTGCCGGAAAAGTTCATGAAGGAGCTTCAGGAGCAGTTGAGTAGCTGGGAGAAGAAGGGCATGATCGGGACGAACGAATTGCGGAAAGCGGCAGGACGTGTGGCTTGGTTGGCGGGGATTTTACCACGTGCACGATGGGTGACGTCCTCGCTGTATGCAGCACTCTATGACCACGAGGAAGGCGTGGCGAAGGGCTTGGAGGCTGAAAGGCGAGCTCGACGGAAGGACAACCGCCCCAAGGACCACTTAGTCGCGGTCAAACGGGTCGAGGAAGCTAGAAGATGGTTGGTAGCCTATTTGAAAGCAGCCCAAAGCAGGCCGATCAGGAAGTTCAGCTTGTACAAGAGCGGCAAAGCGGAAGCCACCTTGATGACCGACGCTTCACCGATGGGGCTAGGCGCCTTACTCTTGGTGAATGGCAGGGTGACGAAGGCTCTTGCGTCGCCAGTGGTGGAACAGGACTCGAAGCTCCTGGGGTTCGCGCTCGGCGAATCGAGTTCGCAGGGGATAGTCGAGACGCTGGCCATCCTGGTGGCCCTCAAGCACTGGGGTCGGCTACTGGCATCGGTGAGCGTGTCGGTAGCCGTACAGTCGGACTCAATCACGGCCTTGGCCATGACACAGAAATTTTCGAACAGCGGTTCAGCACTCAACTTCTTGGGAGCGGAACTTGCAGTGGCCTGCGAAGGCCTTGGACTGTCAGATATCGTGCCAGTCCACCTCCCAGGGATAGCCAACAAGGAGGCAGATTTCTTGTCTCGCCCGGACACGTGGGCGACGACGACACTGCCGGCAGCTTTAGAGGGCATCACGATCGAGACGCCAGAGCAGCGGACGGTCGGTTGGTACACCATGCACCCGCCTGGGCCAGATTCCACAGACTCCGATGCCTTGTTGGCGGCGTGGGCATACCGTCACTGACGGGAGCCAGGAAGGAAAAGGGGGCAAGGAGTGGTCGGGTTTGGGCGGAAGGGCGAACGGGACTCCTTTCCTTGTTCCGGGTTCGCCGTCGAACGCCGCTTCTCGTCGTCGTTGAGGATCGGGTTTTACCGTTCGAGACGAGAAGATTGGGCCCAAGATGGAGGTCGTTGCTTCGACCACTTTGACGGCCACGCCGCTTGTGCCGACCCGGTGGCACTACTCATGGCAGTTCTACTCTCTCTGCTACCTCATCGCCATCGGGATACTGACCCACCTCGTGGTAGCCTGGCTTGGCTACAGGTTGTGTCGCCAGTGGATACGCGACCTGTTGAATCCTCCGCGGAGTCCCAAGGGCGATTCGAAAGTGGCGGAGGAGATGGAGGACGAGGCCTGGCAGGAACCGTGGGACATGGACGGCGAGTACGAGACGATGGCATGGACCCCGACAGATGGACTGCGTTACAGGTCCCTAGAGTCCCCGGGGCCAACACCGTGGGCGAACATGCTGGCTCGACTGGACGGAGAAGCACGCGGGGAGACCATGAATACGTCGAGAGCTACAGAGAGGGACACTCCCTCCTCAATGAGGTCACCAGGGGAACGGAGGCCGAGGAGAAGGGAGGTGGACTCTTCGGAAGGGAGAAACTCGCCACCGTTGAGGGAAGCGGTCCGCGAGTCAGGGGACATGCTATGGTTGGTTACGAGGAGGCTGAACTCGAAGGACAGTTGGCAGCTGTGAACGAGCTCTTCTGCGAGTTCGAGGAAGGAACATGGCAAACCGAGACTGATGATCACCTGGGCGAGAAGGAGAAACCAGAATTTCCCCCTCAACCTCCGACGCTATGGTGGGACTCCCGACACCTCGAAGAACCAGAAGGAGGCCTGGCAGCGTTCATTACGAGGAGAAAGAAGGACGCCCACAAGACGATTGAAGGAGAAAAGAAGGAAGAGAAGGAGAAGCCCAGGGGAGCTGTAGTGGCAATGGTTGGTGATTGTCCCCATCGGCACGAAGGACTGAAACGAAAAGCGGAAGTGAGCTCGAGGAGACAAGACCTACCACAAGCACCAAGGGTCCAAGTCCCAGGGGGGACGAACCAAAAATGGAGGAAGGCGATTCAGACGGCAAGGTGCTTCAGGGCGAACAAGGGCAGGCACATGGACTCCTTGAAGGACTTCAAGCGGGCATATTACGCGAACTCCTCCACGCACGGTCAACAAGATCTTGGCCAACTTGGGCGTGAAGGGGTTGCGAGAGTGCTGGTCGGTACATGTACTTGAACAAGTGGGTGCTGTACTCCGATCTTCCGAGTACAAAGCGGGCGTAACCTACTTGGCCGAGTACAAGAACATGTTGATCGAGAAGGGCGAAAGCTGGACCCACCAGTTGCAGCACGCTTTCATTCAGGCGTCGAGAGCACTGAAACGGGCAAGGGGGCCGGCGAAGAAAGCTATGGAAGTGGAACAGGACCGCTGGATGGAAGCCTACAGGCGCGAGCAAAACGAAGCAACGATGGGGCCTGTGCATAACCCAGCTTTGATGTTTGCATTCGCCACCACCTGGATGTTGAGGGAAGTCGAACTGGCAGCAATCCACAAGGAGGACATCATGATCGAGCCGAAGGAACGAATAGTGTCATTGACACTGAGGATTTCGAAGGGAGATCAAGAAGCTTTGGGCCTGAAAAGGACTCTGCAATGCGACTGCCAGGAGTGCGATTGGTCTGAACCCTGCCCATTCAACATCACGAAAGCGGCATTGGACAACACCCCGATCGAGGTGGACAAGATTGCCCATGGAGACGACGAAGGGGAAGTGGAGAAAAGCCAGATCGTGGGCGCCTGGAGGAAGCTGTTTGGCTCGAAGGTCTCCGGTCATTCAGGCAGAAGGACAGGAGCATTACAATACATTCGAAGGGGATGGCATGTACCTCAAGTGGCTTACTTGGGGCGATGGAAGTCCAACGTCATCCTCCAATATGCGGAGGAAGCACTCGAAACTATGCCAGTTATGGCCAGGACAAGAAAGATCATGAGTACGCCACCTTCGAAAACGGAGATCATGACACAGATGGCCAAGGAGACGGACACGAAGGCGATAGAGAAGATGAAAGAGACGGGTGCCAAATTGAAGAAGGAGATTGACCAGCTGAAAATGATGCAGGACAAACTGGACGATTCCATTGACAGATGGGAAGAAATCTCCATTCGGCACCAAGGTCTGCTTCCACCCGTGGTGATATCGAGGGCCGGTTTGGTGCACGAGAACAAGCGGCAACCGGTGGCTTCACCTGTGACGGCTTGGCGCACGAGATGCGGCTGGCCCTACGGTTCATCGAGCTTCAGCTTTGGCCTGGACATCACTTCAGTGACATGTCAAAAGTGCAAGACCCTTGCGCTGGGCATTGAGGATAAGTGTGGCAAGGGTGGAGGATAGCATGAAGAAAGAACATGCGACTTTGACACCAGCGTCGAAAAGCTTGCTTGAGTTTAGGATTAGGGTGGATGCACACCACATTGTCGTGGAAGAAAATGGCACATTTTCTGTAGGACAAGTTTTTGGTGTGCTGGGTGGGGCCAGGGCTGAGTATGCCATTTTGGCTCAAGCCCTGGCCCCACCATGATGTTTTCCCACCCACCCACTCCAATATATGGAGGATAAGTGTGGCAAGGGTGGAGGATAGCATGAAGAAAGAACATGCGACTTTGACACCAGCGTCGAAAAGCTTGCTTGAGTTTAGGATTAGGGTGGATGCACACCACATTGTCCATTTACGAAAACGGCCATTCTTTCCCTGCCTCCTTTGCAGCAGGGATTTCCTTCTTTGAAGCGGCGGATTGCTTGCTAGCTTCAAAGCTTTGAGCTAGCATCCCTCTTGTAGAATACATGCTTTTCCCTCGCACATTGATTGACGAATTCGATCAATCTGCCACTGGCGCCCAATGCCTGGTGTGGAAGTTTGTCGAAAGACATTCATATGATTATGATGAGAGATGTTTCATGTTTTCATATTTTTTCTGTCGACCCACGTTACTTAATCATTACTCTGGTGGTCAGAGCTTAGCAACTGAGCTGACCGCCAAGTGTGATCATACTTTAGGAGCCGTTAGTTGTCAAGTTGTTCAATTGACATGCACCATCATGCACCGGAGCCATTTGGCAGCATTTTCCTGATTGCTGGCGAAATTAGCGTGGTGTTCTCCTGAAGACGATTGGCGCGAAAATCTTGAAAAGGAATTGTGAATGCTTTGCATGTGATTCTGTCAGAGCTGTGCAGCTTAGGTTTTCATTTTTGTGCCACGCTTGATGGTTTCACTGTGTTTCACTGCGTTAGGTGTGTAAGAACTTTGGGTCCACAAGCTGCAACCTATCATGCGATGCAATGATCAGGGATATCACAAGAATGATCGCCAAGTGTCCGAGACACAAGGATGTGGGCAATACGCAAGATATTCCGAATGACCGAATGATTCACGGTAATCCAAGAGGCCCAATTGTCAGCACAATCTCAGTCGTTCCTTCACACTTTTGCTCCCAAAGTCGTCCTTTGAACCTTATCATTTCCGTTGTGACTGGGATGCAACAGCAGTTCCAGCCATCAACCTCTTTCCCTTTCCAAAACGTGGTGCAGTTCTTTTCGGTGAAGAGAAAGATCAGGAACTGTTGGTGCAGTGTATGTATGGTGTTTTGGTCAAGTCCTCTTTTACTGGGCCATGCTTTGCCATGGCGCCCCTGCTTTCACAGGTTCGGCCTGGCTCTTCACAACGACAGCGCATCCATCACAAACTCATGCCTTGGAACAACTGTCTCCTTAGCGGCTTTTAAAGCAGCTCTTGTCGTTCTAAGTCACTGTATACAGTCACAGTCACAGGATTTCTCTGCTTTGGAACTTGGAGTGGCGGAGGCAGCGGGTGGTTGGAGTGTGTGGAGTTCTACAAGAGAGGAGTGCACTGGAGCTGGAGGGCACGGAGTTTCGAACTCAGACTAACGGGAGGAGGAACCATCGTGTGTCATCGATGCAGGAACGAATGGCTCGTTTGCAGCGTGAATTACTTTACCTTGGAGAAGATAGCAATGTGGAGGAGCTGAGGTCAAAGGTGCTGTTCCGCGCAGAACCTTTCTTGGCTTTTTAGCTTTCAGAATACTTCTCATGGATACAGATACAGTACAGATACTTGTAGCCTCTTTCTGCTCCTCGGGCTTCTGACGAAGTTGTTTGTTTAGATGACGTGAGGTGCCAAACACATGGCACTTGGTGGAGATGTTTCTGAAACCAAATGCGGAGGATTGAAACGAATTGAATCACAGACTGTTTGCAACGTTTCTGAATATATATATAGTTCTGAACAGCATCAGCATTCTTGTCAAAATACTTGATTCGAAGTTGCCTTCATTGGATTTTACCGGTAAAAAGTACAAAGTTTGCACAATGCGAGGGTAACACGCTATCTAGCCTCATTTGAGTCTTCGCAGGAGCTTGGCCCGGCAATGCTGCCTGGGCGTGCTCGCAGTGTTGCAGGAAAGGTAGTAGAGGTGTGCGCCCTAGATATTTGAGAGGACTTGCAGGGGCTTGCAGGGCTTGCATCCTGAATGTGTGATTGTGAAACATATGATGGAATGTCACACAAGTCACGTTTGCTTGGCATTCTATGCAGAATAATCCAGGATATTTCAAAGCAGATCAGAAATGGTTCTGAGGAGTTGCAGCGAGGTCGACAAGCTGCAGCTTCCTCTGAAGGCTTGCGGAATTGGGATCGTAGCCAGGAAGAGCTGAAGCTGAAGAGGCCGAAAGAAGAGCTGAAACCAGATCTGCCGTCAATGACGGTTCTTTTGGATGGCTTGAACCCGGAAGAAGTTGGCTGTTTGATGCGGACGTGTGAAGCTGCAGGCTCGGTTGAGTCAGAGTGCAAATCCACATTTCGTCGCTTTGGCCCGAAGGTTCGTTTGGTCTCGGTGTTTTTGTGCAAGGTGTGCAAGAGTTGCTATTATGTGGCCAAACACCTGGCCCTCCAGATGTGCGAGTGCTAAAGACCAGTTTGAAGGCGGATTTTTTGCTTTCAAGTTTTGGCTTGCTTTGAATGAATGAAAGCATTCGTAGAATAGAACGAGCTGCAGGCTAGGTTGAGGGTTGTGGCGACATGTTCTAGTCACTAGTCTAGTTCATATATCAAACTTTTGTGCTCCTTGGTTTGGTTTTGCACATGGAAAGACACAAGACGGCGAATGCAAATTGCGAACGAGGCTGAAGCCTTCCTGCCTCATCGCAGGGTGGGGCCTTTGGAGCTTGAGCTTTGGAGGCTACAGAAGGCTCAAAACTCTCCAAACTCCCAGCTAACATGCATTCAGTCCGTTTCATGTCCGTTCGATGATCATGCCTATATGATCATGAAAATACATTGAGCAAGAGTTTGTATGTTTCTCTGAATCGAAATCGCTAGGCGGGAGTGCAGACCTGGAGTTTGGAGGTGCTCAATTGAAACTTGGGGGCTGACTGAAGCTTCGTTTTTGTTGAAGCTGCCCCCTCTTAAGCACAGATAGGAGAGAGATAGGAAGGAAAGAGAGAAAGAAAGAAAGAAAGAAAGAAAGAAAGAAAGAAAGAAAGAAAGA